CATGGAAATTCAAACAGAAGCTCTGCTCTATTTTGCCTGCAATAAATATCTTATTGTGCTGCAATGTGATGTGTTTTATAAAACACATCGGGAATATGGAAGCACAGTATGAAAGCTCACAAAAAACCCTTTTTTTTTAAATTTTAAAATACATTTAAAGGAAAGAAATCTTAGGGAAGCATGCAGCTGCTGACAGTATATTAATATTTCTCTGGGAAGCCTGGCATCTTATTCTGGTATCTATAGAATACGCATTTTCACAATAATTTATACAAACTAAAATATATATTTTAGAGCCAGAGGTCACTATTCCCTGTGAGGAAAAAAACTACAGCATTAGCTTCTTATTAAGAAACAAATGCTCTTCATTACACATGTATAGGTAGAACTCAGGATAAAATCTCATGTGTTCCACATTCTCAGACTTGAAAAATTGCTAGATCCATTGTAAAAGCTTCTTAATGGAAATCAAACTGTGTCTCTAATCCTGCAAACACATATGATAGTTATACAGTTTGGAAAACATATCTCAATTTTAGTATTTTTCTTTCATCATAAGGGCTTATTTCCTTAACCATATTTTGTAGACTTCATTAGGACGTTTCCACTTTTTGAGTAATGGGCAGTTCCTGTAAATTCATTTAAAAAAGAGATGAAGACTGGGATCCTGTAAGCACAATGTCCTCTCAGGTAACGAGGCCACAGGAGTCCACAGGGCTACCATAGCCCTTGGGCTCATCTGGGGCTTCATAGTGCCAATTGGAAATCACTTTTCTTTAGAAAACAACAATTTGTCAAAATTAAAGTGAAATTTTTCTTGCAAATAATTTTTGGCACCGAGATAGAGGTAAAATGAGAAGAAAAACCTGAAATATTTTACCATGCTAAATAGTTAGAGGGTAAACTTTGAATCCAGGGGACTGAGGGGGGACCTGGGCTCACACCTGGGATTTAAACCTGGCCCTCACAGGTCAGGCTCATGTGCAGGTCAGCAGGCTGTGCTAGTATGAGTGTGTATCCTGTGAGAGCTGTTTCCCTTTGTATTAATAATTCAATATTTGCAAGGAAGTGGAGAAGAGAGAGAGACTAATCCTACAGTCTAGTGGTCAAACATCCACCTGGGATACTGGGATCCTCCCTTGTCAAAACCACCCAAGAAACAGGAGGGTAGGACGGAGGATAGAGTGATGCCTCTTGCAGCTTAGCAACTGTCAGCTGATCAAATTAGATCAAAACAGGAAGGTCACTGCCTGAGCACTGGCTGGCAAGAAAACACCAACTGTGACAACTTGAAACTAAATGGGGGTTTCAAAGTAATCTCATTAAGTCTCTCCTTCTTTGAAAGATTTTTTAAAAAACGTTTTAAAAAACCAGAGGCACAAGTCTATTTTTAAAACATCTCAGGATTTGGCAATGACGTTAATAAACTTTTTTATTATTATTATTTTTATGTATACTAGACAAACCATAGGAAACTACCTGTAATTTAGTAATTCAAAAGGAATTATAAAAAAAAATTCTGCTTCAATGTCTCTCTTATCTAGAAAAATGAAGGATGAACTTCCTGCATATAGTTACTTCTGCATGAGGCAGAGAAGAGGAGGGAAGAGGAGGCTGAGGGGAAATTTTATATGGAACATATTTTTTCAGTACATGGCCAGGTAGGAGCACAATTTTAAACCCTGGAGGACAGCAAAGCCTGTAAGTCAAAATGTCAGGTTGCTGTTAGGCCAGGGCATTAACACATCTTCATTATCTGCTTTGTCAGAAACCTTCATCGAACTTGGAGGAGTTTGCACTCACCTGGAGAAGAAAACTTGCACTGTACTATGAAACATGAGGACACAGTGAATTTATAAACTCCTGAAGAATGTTGGTCCTTTAAGAGACCAACTTCCTTCTACACGACCCTGTCATTGCCACAGGCTAGCCCCTGCCTCTGTCTGCTGGCCTGTGGCCTCATCTCGGGGTGTGAGGGGCTGCTGTTCTGGGCTGTGGTGGCTCATCTCCAGCGTCTGGGGGCCACCTCCTCACGCACACCACACCTCCACCCAGGCTCTTGGGAGCAAAGGGAAAGACAGAGGGCCGGGACAGGGCACGTTTCTCTATGTGACACCAAGGAAGGAAAGCGTCCCTGCTGCAGTTTTGGATTTTTGCTCTCTGAAGCACAAGCACCCCTCCAGACACAACACCCTTATAACTGGCAGGTAATGCTGCTGGGGGCAGAGAGAGTTTCCTATGATTTATGTGCAAAAAGGAAGGGAAAAAGATAAGCAAGCTCAGACTGATCTAAAATCCAGTTTAAACCAGCACTCCAGAAATAGTCCATTGCAAGCAATTCCATTCCAGCTAGACAATGTTGGGTCACCAGCACTGAGCCAAGGTACATTTCACACCTCACCAGCACACCTGACTAAGGGGACCTTGTGCTGAGACCTCCACAGGGCTGGGGCCAGCTCCCACCTCACCCACCCATGGTCACACAGCACCGTAAGTGTGGTGTCAGGGGGTCCTGCCTCACTCACTGTACCTCTGTGCCATGTGAGCATCACCGCTAGTCCAGAATCTGTGCACATGGAAAAATCCAGAAAGCCCAACCCAGCTTGGCAATGCACTGTATCTGCTCTAGGTTTGTGCATCACAGAACACAATAAAACAGCTGTGCTTTGGTAAAACACACTGAAAATGAACTAGACATTGTTTCTATAACAGCGCTGACTTTCACTTAAAAATGAATTCTCTCTTGAGAGGCATTATTTGAAAAAAACAACAAAAACTTACTGACTCTATCAGATAATAAAATAAAACAAGAAGTTTACGCACATCAAAATAGAAACCCAATACTTCACGCTATGAAGCGTCTTTCATGCCAAGACCACAGAGCACTTCCCAACAAGCCTGTAGGCATGTAAGTGATGTTACTGCCATTCCACAGACAGGAGAAATAAAGCACGGAAAGGTCAAGTGTCTGGCTGCAGGCCACACGTCTCAGGCATAGCACAGCTGGGAACAGAAGTATGGCCACTCTGCCCCTTGCTCTGATGAGATGACATGCTCTCCCACGTTTTGTAAGCATGCTAGCTCTCTTGATTTAAAATTGCTTTCCTACTTTTGTAGATTTGTATACTGCTATAGCTGGCCACAGAGCAGAACGTACTACAAGGCGCTGCCAAGTCAATTGACTTTATTGGCTCTGTGGTTTTCTTTTGTGCAAGGGGTTGTGTGATTGGGACCTAGTGATGACAACTAAGCAAGAAACATTTATATATTTGTCTGTTACATTATGCTCTTTCAAAACATAGTAAATTGACAGCACTTGCAGCATTTTTCATATTTTTTAAATAACCAGATTTGCGTTATAGGCAGTGGTGCATTCTAAAAATGTCATTTTCTCTCTCCTCTCATACATGTAAAACTTCAGGAAAAAATAAATTTATACATACACATATATATAAACAAAATAAAGAAAGAACTTTTCTTCAGGTCCACTTAGTATTATAAACCAGAGAAATGCTGGTACATCCTCACAGCCGAGTATGCAGGTGCCACTGTAATTTACACTGCATATATGTTTCAAATTTGTGACATAAGAGACACACTTTTCATAATGCAGTCATTTTATAGATTTTATTAGGCAGACTTATGGTAGGAAGGAATATTCAGAAATTGCAACTTAAATGAGAAAATGTGAATGGTGTTACTTATATAAAATACTACTGCAATAGTTCTTTTATTAATTTTTAATGCACAGCACCCACTGTGACCTCCTTTATTCTTTTCCTGTCAACATGGCAGGCTAGAGAAATTGAAATGGGCTGTAGCTGTTCTCTTCTTGTTCCCCTCTTCCTCCCATTTTGCATAATATTAAAATATAACATCTTATTGGACTGTCACTGTGAAATAATCATTATGCGATAGGCATAATGATTTTTTCTGATCGTTATCTCTTTCTTACTTTTCAGCATTCTCTAAAAAATTTCAAATTCCATGTAGTTATCTAAGGCAATAACACAATCTGCCACGGAATACACTCATCTGAATTAAAGTTTGTTTAAAAGTTATCTTTTGCTACATTTCTTATGGTTCTCTAAGGGTAACACCAGTCACCTAAAATAAAGAATCTTTTTGCCTGTCCAGTCTCCTCCAATTACGTTTTTGGGGTGAGGTAGGAAATGGGTCTGCTAGAATAGCATTTGACTCAATCAGGAGGACGCTATTACTTCTGTTATGTATATTTACTGCTACCTCTATCACCAAGGAGACTAATCTCCATACCAGTAAAGTCAAGAAGCTCACAGTATTGTCTTTGCAGGGCCAAGTTCGTGTTGTCACAGCAACAGAGCGCACAGGGTCAATAGATTAATACATTAGTGTGCACAGGCACTGAACTGGAGTGTAAAAGTTTTGCTGCTGGTTTGAAAATTTAACTGTGAAGCAGGACTTGAAAGCATGGCCTACACAAGATATTATTGTATATCTTGAGGAACAGGCTACAAAAATATGCATATATTTGCGTAATACTTTCTATCATTTTTACCACAGTGTGAAGAGGAGGAAATAACATCCCTGGAAGAGGTGCACTCAGTGGGAAGGAGGGAGAAAGGCTGGAGATCGGGCTATGAAACATATACTGCATTTGGATTGTTGATATTTCCCCCTGCGATGCCCTTTCATTAGCCTCTGTCTAACGTGGGGCCTGACAATTGTGACAGGATGAAAAATTTGAGGAAAAGCGAGGGTCACGAGGGAAGAGATTTCCTTCCCTCTCCAGTGACCCTATCACAGTATTCTGATGCAGTGCTTTACCATTAAGGAAAGGGCAACCCAAGAGCCTTCACACTTAATCTGTTCCATCTGTCATGACTTAGAAACATTGACCAGCAGTGAGCTTTAAGGACTCGGTGCGACTGCAGACATGATATTCTAGCCCACTACAAGGACCTCCTGATGTTTTGAAAGCCTCCAAGGAAGCACCACGCATCAAAAAGGGCAACACCTACCTGACATCCCACCATATGTGGTCCTCAGTCCTCTACCAACTGCTGGCCAAGGTGTGCTGTCTGCTTTCAGTCCCATCAGTCCTGACACAGTGTTGGTGGCTGTAACACCATCTGCGCCACCTGTGAAAGAAAAGGTCAGTCACTTTTTGTTAAATCATGTGTATAAGAACAAGAGAGGAAAAAATACAAGAGAAAACCTGTGAAACTCCGAAATAACTAGGAATTCAAATAAAGAGCTGAAGGGCAAAAGCAACAAACTGCAAGCGGATGCGCAAAAAGGTCCTTAAGACCAATCCTGGGCTGATAAATTTAGCATCAGCTTCAAAGCAGGCCGTATTAGTTAAAAGAGCTGTAAAGGCTGTAAGACAGCATGTGCAAAACACTGGGGCTGACAGGCACATCTCTGCCCTTCAGCTGTGTGGGCCAGAACCTGTTAAAGTGGTTGTTCATCACCTGAGGGTACCTCAGGACAGGGGCCACCTCCTGCAAGCTTCTGAGCAGGAAGACAGTGTGACAAAAAAACAATGACCACAGTTCTAAGTGACAGATTAATGCACCTACTTGCAAACTTACTTCCTCTCATGTTGTACTTTAACCTCTAAGGAAAAAAAAATACAGTTTCAAATGGTGTATTTTTGTTTTCTCAGGACACACATGTAATTTTCACTACTAAAATACAGGAATAGGGGAATTAACAGTGGTATGGTAAACATAAGACAGAAGTAAGAGCGTGCAGGCAAACACATACAAACATATACAATTTATTATTAACAGTCTAACATGGTTCTCTTCATATATTGCTGTATTCTAGATGCATGGACCTTTGATCATTGTGCTTATTCTAAATAGATCAAACAAACTATTTTCATATTAGTTTCTGTTGTGATATGTTATTCCAGTAACACTTCTATCATCTCCCATCCAGTAAATTAGTAAATCTGCACAGCTTGTGCACTGGAGTCACTCACCTTCCTGTGCAGCCATTGCAATATTCACAATATCAGTGACATTTGGGGTCAGCTTGGCAAAGAAAGGAATTTGAACAGCTTGTCTAACCCAGCGACAGATGTTCCGTACCAGCTCTGGATCCTGTTCAAATAGGTCATATAAACACAGAACATAATTAAAAGTAATATGAACAAAAGGTATATCAAGGAAATAGAAAACTTTGCTATAAGTGGCTATACTGCAATTTTGTGAAATTGTATATCAGAACTGAACCTTATCTCATTAGATAACTTATTTCAGACACATCGAATAACTGCAAATCCAATACGGAAAGGTTAGTGTATGAAAAAAAAATCAATTTTTTTTCAAAAAGACAAAAATATCACAAAATGTTCCCTTCCCAGAGAGAGAAAAACACCATTTTGGATGACAGAGATTTTCTTTACCTATTTATTTCAAAATTTGCTTTTCAGTTTTAATGACTCACTCTATGTAAGGTATACTAAAACTAAGCAGTATCCTATGGAATAATGTGAACCTGAAGCATTGGATGATTATGCCTTGATCAGAACAACAGGGATGAATCGACGTTCTAGGGCTATCAGAACACAATTCAGCATTTCTGAACTCTGAGAATAGCTCAGGATGGCCACAATGTAAATGAAAGATCAAAAACTTCTCTGTTAAAGCCAGAAATCGAAATCTTCAAGTGTTGGCTTTTCCTGATTTCCTGGCATTTACTTCCCTTAAGGAATAGGTTCTAACGTAGACAGTAATCAACTATCCTTTCCATTGAGAATAGCTCAGTGGAACTAACATCTGCATCTGGTGCATGTAATGGTTATTGTTCAATATAACTCCTAGTATGGGTTCTTTTTTTTTTTGTTGCCAATTGATAATGCTCTTCAACAAATACCTTAAAGTTTGCAATACTGATCCATGTAGAATGTGGTGCACGTTCTGATTAAAAATTGAATGGTGCTATCACAAGATTTAGGATTTACTACAAGTATTACCTGTGAGTCAGCTATTTGGTACTGCAGCAATTATTTACATTTACTAAGTCTTTATCACTCAGATAATGAAATGTCATATATGAATTATTTCCTCCCATTTGGATATTGTAAAATCTCAGAAACCTGCATTGCTGTGTAGTAACTGAGAAAGGGATGGGACTAAATGAAGTTTAGTTTAAAACAATCCGGTGGACAGCAAGGTTGCCAGCCTAGTGAACACACAGGAAATACCCCCCTTTTGTTTTTTCTTTTTACACCAGTGGTTAAATACAAACAAAAAACCCCACAGGCTGTGTTCCTAGAAAGTACACAGTGCTTGACATGAACAGTAAAGCCCTAAGACTTAGCTGTGCCATTCCTATAAAAATGGTGATCTCCCCGCCCATGCAGCTTCCATGAAATATGTATGAACGCTGCACCGGCAGTATGAAAGTAGTTGCATCTTTGACTTTCATTTCTGTTTTGAATTTCCTTGAGGCCCAATGCAGAAATGATAGCCCGTCTAGAAGACATGAATTGTATATCCTTTATGTTAATTCTTCTCCTTAGAAATCCTTGTAATAACGTTCAGGATGTTGGCACCACATAACTCATTATGCTGACTTCATTGTGCTTATAGTGCTGCCATAAAAATTCTTACTCCTACACACACTAATGCTTTAAAAAATACAATTATTTTAATCTACACTGAATAACTTGTTCAGAGATGTCTTTCATACAAAACCAATTTTCACTCTAGTTTGTCTTTCTTAATAAATAATAATTGACTAATTTTTTTTCTCCAAAAGTAAGTAAAGATCTTTATTTTCAATCATTCTGTTTCTCACACACCAAGATGAATGTAATGAATGCAATGGAACAGTCTTCTATTTCTCAAGCTAATAAACAGTTCAAATATCTGATTGCACGGCACATGATTAGACAAAGCCCTTAAAAGGCTCGCTTGTATCGGCCTTGGAAAACTGCCCATTTTTGGTAGCAATAAAACCACAAGTAAATTAATAGGAAAATTATTTGAAAATTCAACTGAAGGAAAAAATAGGAATGTTTAGTGAGGAAATATACAAAAAAATGAAACAAAAGTGAACACAGTGCTTTGCTGTATAGTGAGACAGTCAGTGGAAAGGTGATAAATTTTATGCAAAAAATTAGAATTTCCATTAAAGTTGACAATTTTGGACTGAAAAAGGTATTTCTAGAGGTGATTTTTTTTTCTCCCGTAATATTTTATCTAATTCATTTGCTCTTGAAATAAATATCACATGAAGATAATACTGGCTAACTTTAAAAAACTACTGTTTACCCTTGCACCACACCGAAAACACACACACACACACACAAGCATAATGTATCTCGCTGCTTCCCTTTTCAGTGCGAGTCCTGATGCAGCATCCAGATGATCCATTTTCCACCCTCCTCCTCCACCTCCTTGCTCTGCTCTGCCTCCAGACCCTCTGGCTCAGATTCCTCCCAGTGCAGTGGCCAACACCAGTGAGACACCTCAGCGCATCCTTTCTCCCCTCACAGCAGTGACATTGCAAGTGTCCAGTGGTCACAGACTAAGCTTCCCTGCTGCCAGGGGGACTTCTATGCCATGAAGTCACTCCATTGAGAATACCAGTGCTCTATAGGCAACTAACATATTCTCAAAAAGTAATAATATCCATGCCTCTTTTTATTTTTTAACTCACATTTTCTTTAGATCATTCAGAAAAGTTATTTGTTAATTTATATATTTCATAATTCTCTACTATATTTGCACTGAGGACTTGGAAAAATGCATCATAAGCATTCAGATGGTTGAAAACAAAAGATACTCATGTCAATGGACAGCTAATTTTCATAGGAAATGAATAAACTACATTTATATAAACCATGAGAATTTCACTGAATGGTGCACAACATCTTCACAGAAGTTTGCCTTTAGACTAAGAACAATTTGCAGAGGTCACACAAGAACACAAATGTTGAGAAACATTAAAGTGATTAGAAACAGAGAATTTACTTCTAAATGCAATCATTGACTAAAGAAATGCAGTTCAAAACTTCAGATTTCTGAGAATATAATTTGTCATATTTAGCAAAGTTTTAAACTTGGGTTCAAATTTAACAACATGAGTAGCATGATACCAAAAACTAGTTCTGAAGAGGTTATGTACGGGCTTTATTTTGCCTAATTAATTCAGCTGATTGAGGGCCTCCCACCTACCTGGATTTGTGAAAGACTGACCCCAATTTACAAATTGGTTTTACTGATTCTAAGCAGAGACTGGACTTATAAAACTTTAAGGGATGAGCATATAACTTGTGAAAGAACGAATCTTGAGGTCTGTAAATCACATTATAAAAAATACCTGTCACTGCTAATACAACATAAATATCTTTTTTTATCCCAATCCAACTTTACGAAAGTGCCTGCAGCTTTTATCATTGATAAAGTGGTTGATGAAGCCTGCACAGTTAAGAAATATTTTCTAAATGGTTTGACAAGTAAAACGTAATAACATAAGCTGTAAAAACAGATGGGCATTTGTATTCGCAAAATCAACAATATGAACTAAATAAAATACTATTCTGCTTAATTTAGTACATTTAGTAATGCTTTTGGTTCAGAGTCTACCATGCTGCTATAAATTATCTTCTTTCATTACACATAACTAGGTTTGTTGGTTCTCTTATTAACAATGATACAGTGAAATTGTTACAGAATGTGTAGCATAATTTTGCACTGTGTGTCAATCCAGAAGAATGAACAAATGCTTCAATGGACTGTGACATCCATTGCAACCACACTTCATTAATCTGCTGTATTTTTATTTTTTTTTAAACAAACCCTATCTAAATAAAAGCTTGGTAAAATTAACATCAGCTAAAAGATAATATTGTTTCATGCAGTGTACCTACAGGAATCTGTTGGCAATTTAATACCATATAAAGTCTCTTTTGGTATGAGCTGTACATCAGTGTGTCTTCTGTCTTCCTGTTCTTAATCAAATATTGCTTGTTTATTCCAAAGGCACAGGAGATTTGAATGTTACAGGGGTTGTCTTTTTACTTCCCTAAGCAGCAGTACAGAATCATTTTTCCTGAATATTCATTATAGCCTTGGGCTAGATGGAGCTTTTAATCCTAACTACTCATTGCCAATGGGTAGATATACTAGAGGAAAAACAACCATTCACCTTTTTTTCTAAATGATCACATGATAAGCTTAACTACAACCATAACTATGAGACCTCAGAAATTAAAGCAGCAAGTTGTCTACTGATTGCATTTGGCATCAGTAATGAGATGAATCCCCTGGCCTATCACCCCCAAGGCAGATACATCCTGCATGTTTAAAAAGGAGCATGAAAATGCTGTGCATAGAGTAGGTCACCTCTCCTTGTGTTTCATGGAAAGAAACAAAACCATGATGAGATTACCACATAAATATCTGGCTGCAGATTTTTGGAAATTTTTATTGTGACCTATTTTCAATGTTCTTGCAGGGTTCTCATTTTTACACTATCCTGTTACTGCACAATATTTACACCGTATCCAGAACACCTCTCTGAGGTAGGGAATTACTATTACACCTGTTCAATAAATGGAGAGAGGAGAGTCAGATAGCCTGAGGTGCATCTCCTACAACTCACCTTGCTTTGGAGCCCAGTTTTTACTACATCATTTGCATAAGGACCCAAAAAGGTTTGTCTGGCAGAAACTGCACTTCATTCCTTGGAATACCATAGATAATTGGAATAATTTGGAATAACCATGAGATACTTTCCACAGTAACAACAGAAATATTTTTCATAATTGAATTTAAATAGTTTTTCAGACTATTTGAGTAATGCAAAAGACAGAAATATAACTACTTTAGGGTAACAAACATGTGTTTCCTAACTATGCAAATAGTCCTCAGGAAGCACATGTGTGTGAGTGCGTGTACATATGTGTGTGTGCACATATAAAGAATACAAATGTCAGTCTGAAAGATGTCATAAAAATAAACTTGTTACAGAATTTCCCCCAAGAACTTAATAAGAAAGGTTACCACTAAGTAGACCACATTAGCTGATCTTGTCTAATTCATCATGGCTAGGCTTCGCAAATGAAGATTTGGGAAAGGCTCTATCCACA